TGCTAACCACTGAGCCACCATGCAGCCCTCAAGGAAATCTGATTCTTGCAGATGTATGAAAGATAATCACAGAGCAAAGGGAATCACACTGTACTTAAACTAGGCTGTGTGATCATGACATAGTGGATGTTGGTTGGTTCTGTCTGTACCTTATGCTAAGAGATTTATTTTTTTCCAAAAGGAAGCATTGAAACCCATTTGTTAGGTGTTTAGAGAACTCTTTCAGCTACTTGTGGTAGACACTTCCAGGTGTTTTCAGTCAACCAGGAGCCCTCCTAAGAAAAAGCAAAAAACCCCACAAAGAAACCACTTTGGCTTTAAATCCAAACCCTCTGAATGGCTTAAATGTATGAAGGTTTTTACAAAGATGCATCGCTGTAATTTTTCCTTTAAATTCCCTTAAATATACGTAGAAATGAGAAAAACTCACAATTTCATGTTGAGCATTCTGGCTGCAGCACTGAGTGGAGTCCACACAAGACAGATAAAGAAGGATCAGACATTTATCTAAAATCTGGTTTTATTGTACCATAAAGTTGTGAACTTTGAGCATAGGATCACCACGGTGGTACAGCAGCTCTGAAGAACACTTACATACAGGCCTACACAGAAGTACACTGAGAAGAACGAAGGCAGACATTATCATCGTGACATGATTGTGACGTTGCAGGACGCTCGGTCCTACCGGCGACCGGCTTCAGTCGCACGGTTCAGGTTTTAAAAGCCAGTGAGAAGATTTCCCTTTTATCAGCTCAGAACAAGTTATCACAAAAAGGACATTCAGCGATCTCTACATCGTCAGGTTTTCAATGTGCAAATGAGTCACTAACAGGCCGTGGTATACAATCTCTACAACGTGAAGGTAAAGGTTCGTTTACGGTGCTTTTAGTCTCCACCTGAGGTTTACGACGCTGAATTCATTCTGTTAGCTACGAGACAAGATTACGCAAGAGGAAAATATACACGGATTATGATTTGGACAGAAGTTTAAAAACTAGCAGGAGAGGGCTGTTGCATTGTGTTTGCTTCTAGAACACGTGGTTGTGCGAACGGAGTCTGTACGAAAAAGTGACGACATGAATTATTCATTTTTGGCCTTTTGTTTGTGAAAGCCCTCACTGTAAAAAAAACCCAAAAAAACAAAAACAAGTAGCAGCAGTTAAGGCAAAAAGATTGTTCCCCGTGGTTTCAAATATACCTGAGTACCTAAAACAATAAATCTACAAACTGTGTCACTGGAGCAAACAGTTTTGGTCTATTGAGTGTTTTATATATAAAGAAGCTCGATTTCTAGTTTTCGTTACTAAAAGCTAAGAAACAAAAAAATGCTCAATTAGATCGGCAACAACAAAAGCAATCTCTTCTAAGCCGTATTAAAATATAAGCAACTAAGACACCCCATTAAAATAATTAAGAAAATGCATTCATTTTTGTGGATAATACAATAATAAAAAGTGTCTTCGATCGGTTACCGCGATGCTCTCCGAGCCGTTGTGCTATAAGCCGTTGGTAAAGGTGGTGTCTCGGCTGATGCTCTCCTTGACTTCCCCGGGCAGTGTGTCGAAGAGGTGGTCCTCCACGATGAGGCCGCTTCTGCGCAGCAGGCGGCAGTTTCCCAGCTGGGCGGGCAGCCGGTCCAGACAGTTCCCCCTCAGCTCCAGCTGAGTGAGCTGCACCAGCTGACCCACGGACTCTGGCAGCGTGGTGAGCGCGTTGTGGCCCAGACACAGCACCTTCAGCTTGGTGCATCTGAACAGAGGCTTGGGCAGCACCTCCAGCTTGTTGGAGTTGATGGCCAAGTGCTGCAGGTTGTGGAGGAGGCCCACGTCTGGAGGAAGCACTGTGATGGAGTTGTGGCCCACATCCAGGTGTCGCAGCTTAGGGAGCGTGAACAAGGCCGGAGGCAGGGACTCCAGTTTGTTGTGAGAGAGGTGGAGGGACTCCAGCGACTTGACCTGGCCGATGGAGGAGGGGATGGTGATGATCTTGTTGTGCCACAGCTTAAGGCAGGTCAGCCGCTTGAGGTGCTGGAAGCTGATGATCTCCTCGATGGTCCGGATGTTGTTCGATTTCAGGTCAAGTTCCTGTAAGTTGGTCAAGCTGAAGATAGCGTGGGGGATCCGCTCCAGCTCGCAGGTGTGCAGCTCCAGTTCAATGAGATTTGTCATTTTTTTCAGGCTGTTTAGTACCAACAGTTTCGTACCATCGTTGTGCACCACTAAACGAATCAGATGTGGCGACAGCTCTGTGATGTTTGTGGGCATTTTTGTGAGGTTGCTCTTCAGGCATAATGTCTTTAAATGCCTCAGATCTCGCATGGACTCCAGGCCGATCATCTTGTTGTTTTCTGAGCTCAGGTTGCCGATTAGGTTGAGCTCCCTCAGGCTCCTCAGCAAATACACCCAAGCTGGGATCTCAGCCACGTCCGTGAACTTGACGTGCAGGCAGCGGAGATGGTCGCGCAGGAAAGCAAAACCCGTCTGCTCCACTTTGGCCGGACAGTGGCAGAGATGCAGCTCCTGCAGGCTGGTCATCTGGGAGACTTTTGCCGAGAACCTCACCTCAGGAATCAGCTCCAGCTTCAGCACTTCCAGATCCGTGAGGTCAAACACGGCGTTCGGGAGACCGGAGAGCATGAAGAGGTGCAGCTCCTGCTGGTCCTGTGCATTACGGGTCACAAGCTGCCGTAATTTCTCAAAGGTCCACTCGTGATTGAGGCTGATCTCCCTCAGCTTGTTTTCACTGACCTCGGACAAGAAAACCCCAAAGCGCTTGGAGTAGAGTTGGTCATACTGGTCAACCATGTGTAAAAGGAATGCAAAGTCATTTTTGACATCAGGAATGTCGCTGAAGCTGCTCTCCTCCCTGACTTTCTCAAATGAGTACTCCTTCAGCGGCCGTCTGAACACCCAGAACAGAGAGTACAGGCACGTCATGCCGTAGATCAGAATCAAAGCCATGTAGCTGATGAGCAGCTTGTTCAACATGAAAGCCATGTTGTGCGTACAGAAGAACTTCTTGTACCCTGTTAGCGGTTTTATATCAGGTTCACAATCGTGCTTAAAATTGATCTTAGCCAAAAAGGTGGACGTGTAGGACAATATCAGGATGAACTTGACTGTTTTGACGATGGTCTGTGCTACATAAAGCTTGTAGATAAAGTCACTGTCCTCCACGTGAGCTCTGAACTTCCTCACTTTCTCAAACAGAGCCTTGGCCTGCTCCCCATCCTTTTTATCCAGGATTGTCATACTACTCGGGACCTCTGCGATGGGCTTATCTGCAGAAAACTTCACCCCGAGCATGGGTGCGGACGGGCTGGTGTTGGCGCCGTCGTCCTTCCCCTCTAAAGACACCTGCTTGGGGGCCGAGGAGGTGCCGGTCAGCCTCTGCTTGTTCTCCTCAGAGTCCTCGCACGCTGTTTCAGACAAAGCCTTCGTAGTCCAGGGAGACTCGAAACACCTCCCCAGGATAGACACAAAGTGCTCAATCTTGGAGCTCGTTTTTGGGTATTTGAACCAGAAGTTGCTACTGACCATGAGAATGAGTGTGTGTATGAGGGTGAGGTATGGAAAGTACTTGGAATACCAGGGCAAGGCAACGTGGTAACATATTTGGTTAATAAAGATATACTGTTGATAGTCTAGGTTGGTTCTGACCCCCGTCGGTTGAGGCTGGTTGGCGTATTTCTCTGACACCACAGCGGTGTGTTGGTGCGTCACGTGGATCTCGCGGACCGCGTCGTCCGGTAGGTCCTTCGTGGCCAGCGGGATGGTGGCGACCACGGGGGCTCTGGTGGCAGCGGAGGAGGCCGCTTCCTGCGCGCTCTGCGGGGGGAACGAGTGAGGCTTGGCTCCCGAGGCCTCCTCCGGGTCCTCCAGACACGGCAGACAGGCCACCTGGTCCTTGGTGATCTGCATGGTCATGGCAAAAATGGCCAGCATGAGCATGACCAGCCCCAGGTAGTCCATGAAGACGTCCCACCATGGCTTCAGGATGCGGTACGTCGGCTGGATGTCGTTCAAGGAAGCGACTTCAGTGAGTGTGAACATCACTGCAAGAGATGGAGGACAGCCTGTTACACTCATATATGTTCATCTACAAAAATCAAGCTGAAACAGTCGAGTAATTGATTAATTTTAAATGGGCAAATAACACATTTTCCCCTCTTGGTCAGCTCTCTCTGGACTTCCTGGTTAATACGAGCATTTGCTGCCTGTTCATCATTATAAACTGATAATCTGCAGACCTTCTGCACAGTGATGGATTCGCTCCCTCTTTGGGCATTTTATAAACCAGCAAATCAAGAAAATCACTGACTATTTTTTGCACTTTATTACGCAACCTTCTTCTGTTTTGGCCTGAATATAAACAGCTGCAACAACCGGCCTCTTTGTCATCATGAGTAATCTTTCAGGAAGCCAAAACGAGCATTTTAAAAATAACATTTATCATGACTTTTCAGACTAAACTTGGACCAACACGTTAAAACCTTTTCTGGCTCAAATCTGCAGGAGTCGTGCCGTCCTTTGTTCTGAAGCTGCCGGAGTCACGTTTAATCCTCGTCTGGTAGTGAATGTGTAACTCTGAAGTCACAGCTGAGTAAGAGCGTACTCCACATTTCATCCTGGTGTGCTACGCTGAGTTCTCACTTCCCTCTTAGTTTTATTCAGTAAAGCCATAATGGCGTTTAAGTGCCGAGCCAAGCTTGAGCTAAATCCAGACGTATTACGGCGTGTTGTTTCTGGAGCAGCCCTTTGAAGCGGCCGTACGTCCACTGTTCTGACTCACCGAGACGTTTGGCACACATGTGTTTGATTTTAATGAGAACGGCTTTCCTGTTTAGTAGAATTTGGCACTCGAGGGATTATCTGGATAGCTGCTTGCATCATCTTTTATTTGATTCAGGCCATCTGAAACAAATGCATTTAGAAGAAATATACGTTTGGTTTCTTTAAACGCACCGAGATTCAATACTTCAGTTTGATTTTCTTTACACCAGAGGACATCCCCCCCACGCTGCTCACCAAACAGGAAGACAGAAATGACGCACTTCTGAGGAGAGATTTATCTGACTCTTTCCTGTCAGCAGCAGACATTTAAATTGCATGTATGTGATCATATTTTTGTCACAACTTCATCTGCAGGAGCTGTCTTTAGGTTTGTGGGAGGCAGCCGTACATGATATGTGTAGTGTTTGTAATAGAAAAAAAAATACATGTATAAGGTTTGGATTAGTGATGCACGATATGAAAAGTTCTGGCCAATACCGATATCCAATTGTCGATAACTGATATCACCCATGTCGATATTCAATTTTTGTTCACAGTGAAAAATGAGTATCAGTAAGCACTGTGAGAAAACTATTCAGAAGAAGCCCAGATCAGACCACATAGTCGTTATTACATGAGAAAAGCAAAACATATTTAAGTCCAGGACCACTTAAGTAAAAACATCTGTGAAACAGCAGCGATATCAAACGTAGAGACGAAGGCGCTGATGTTAGACAATCATCAGCTAAATGTGTTCATCAGACCAATACCAATGTGGTCGCCAATATATCGTGCATCCCGAGTTTGGATGATAGGTTGTCTGACATCTCTCTCACAGCTTTTTAATTTAATCAGTAGAATGTAGATCCACTACCTCCAAACTATAAAAACAAATAAGGGTCTGCTTCTCTCTGTTGCCATTTCTCAATGTCCATCCATCATCTCTACACCTTAACCCTCACCAGGGTCATGGGGGGGCGGAGCCTATCCCAGCTGACTCAGGGTGAAGGCAGGTTCACCTGGACAGGTAACCAGTCTATCACAGGGCTACACTTAGAGACAGACAACCAAGCACACTCACATTCACACCTATGGACAATTTAGGATCACCAATTAACCTCAGCATGTTTGTGGACTGTGGGAGGAAGCCGGAGAACCCGGAGAGAACCCACGCTGCACGGGGAGAGCATGGAGACTCCATTTCTAAACGTGAGAAAAGATTTTGCATGACTACATTAAAATGTGTAAGAACGTTCTGATCGAAAGACGGCGTTCACACGTTTGAATGCTTTCACACATTTAGCTATGCCGCGATATGCAGCTACAGCGCCGATGACCCGATATGTTTTCATACCAAACAAGCAAACAGCATGCAGGAGCAGACGGGCCGAACGGCACCGACCGACGTCAAAGGTCTCGTTACACATTGTTCATCCTGCACCAGATATCAGCGTCTCCTCACCAGAGCTGATCAATAAATAACTGGCAACTTTCAGCAAATTAAAATGCTTCAATCACCCTGTAAGAAGCACTGATAGGCCAAAGGTGTTTCTGCAGGTTTCTCTGATGCACGGTTCGTCCACCAGAGAGCACTCTATTTATTAAAACACAGCATATTAATACTGGCCTAAAAAACCCCAGTATGAGGCTACAGTCCTCACATTTAGACCAAGATGTCCCAGTTTGAGGTGCTTCTGCTGTCTAGGACTCCATGAGCTTCTTGTTTATATCAGGTCTTTTTCAGCGTGACTTGAAGGTAAATCAGCCTCACAGAACAAGGCGCTGGGCCCTCGGCGTAGGAAATGTCACTGGCGTTGTCTCGTACTACCATCACATTCTGCAAATCAACATTTTTTACTCAAAGACATTTTGACGTCACTGTCTGCGGCGAACAAGGCCCGTATTCACCAGCCTGGGAACATGTGAAATTTGATTAGCTTGGAGCGGCGCGCAGAGCTGAATGAAGCCGTCCTCCTCCGGCCTGGAAGTCCAGTCTCGCTGTAGTAAACTGTGACCAGCCCCTCAGTGTGTTTAGTCTTCCTTTTGTGGTTTTGTTTTAACGATTAATGACAGGGCCCTGACAAGGAGAGGTCATTTGTTTTAATAAAGTACAGTCGTGTTCATACTGACAGATGGCAAAGCATGACCCCTAAAAACTCATGTTTGTGTTAAAATTTCACATCTTTAATTTCATGAAACCACTAATTTTCTTCCTTAAAAGTGGCTCCATGGAACTAAACTGATTCTAAATAAACTATGAAGTCCCTCCACCACTCGCTGCAGCTCTGGCTCACCTACGATTCTACCCAAACACGGCAAAACTACTCTACGCTACTCAGTGGCAAGTTGTAATGCTGGAGTACAAGTTAGGGACTAGAAACTGATTCTGAAACAGAAATCCAAATAATGTGGTCAACTGTAACATCCAAATCGCAGGAGACGCAGTTTTGTTTTTTGTTTTTGAGAAACGGTAAACATGTGTCTCAACATGCCATTTGACATGAAGCAGAAACAGACAGAAATCATATTCTTCACCTATAAGGAGCAGGATTGTTTGGCGTAGATCATAGATTTACTTTTTTGTGGTAAGTGGAAAATTAATTTAAGGGGCTTAGAGGATCGTTATAGGCTCCTATACTTATACCTGTTGCTACATGCAGTGATGTTTTATTGACGTAAGTATATGTCGTCTTTAGTGATGCACGATATTAAAATTTCTGGCCAATACCGATATTAAGATTTTTGATATCGCCGATAACCGATATCACCGATGTCGATATTCAATTCTTGTTCACACCGAAAAATGAGTATCAGTAAGCACTGTGAGAAAACTATTCAGAAGAAGCCCAGATTAGACCACATAGTCTTCTTTATTATAAAGGTAAAACATATTCGGCTGGCCTGGGAACACCTCAGTATCCCCCAGGCAGAGCTGGGAAGCGTTGCCGGGTGGAGGGAGGTCTGGGACGACCTGCTCCGCCTACTGCCCCCGCGACCCGACCCCGGATAAGCGGAAGAGAATGGATGGATGGATGGATGGATATTTAAACATATTTAAGTCCAGGACCATTTAAGTAAAAACATCTGTGAAACAGCAGCGATATCAAACGTAGAGACGAAGGCGCTGATGTCAGACAATCATCGGCTAAATGTGTTCATCGGACCGATGCCGATGTGGTCGCCGATATATCGTGCATCATTAGCTGTCTTGTATTGATTTTAAGAGGAATGCATTACATAGTAGTTTTATACTTTTCTTTTACATATAATATTATATTTAGATTTTTTTAGCTTTCTATAGTTATTGCCTGTCAACTTGTTGTTGTTGTTGTTGTTGTGTATCACAGTTCCATTCATCAAACTCCTTGCGTGCGCGAGCTCACTTGGCAATTAAAGCTTTCTGCATTCATACTGGTTTGGAATGATAATTAACTTGACTTTTTAAACAAAACAAAAAAAAAGAACAATTTAAACTAAAATCAGGACCCATTTCGCAGGATTTGTACCATAATCACAATATTAGATTCAATTAGATAGAACTGTATTGATCCCTTTGGTGGGTACATCAGGGACATAGTAGAATATGATTTGTTTTGTACTTTTTGTAAGTCTTTAGCCCTATTCCAGCGTATAAAACATGTACTTACTGCCACGTTAACATGATAAAACAAGCTGATTTCCAGTGGAGGGTGTCAGCAGTGCAGCTCATGTCTGACTGTTGTGACTGAGCTGATTGTGGCTCCACAGGGGCTTTATAATTATCATTCCTCCCCCAGTCTGCTCACACATGGCAGAAGAAACACATCCAGACAGGCTTTGGAAAAAAAAAAAAAAAAGGAAAAAAAAAAAACCAACAACAACAAAAAAAACAGAGCTTTGCATGTGGGGGGCCCCCAGGACCAGGGCGGGGCCGTGTGCCACCACAGGCGGGCCCTGGCAGCGGGGCAGGCCGGTGAGGAGCCCCCCCTCCCTGGTTGAACCTGCGGAGGATCAGGCTGCTGCTCCAGACAGAACATATAAACCAGAGCACGTGAGAGCAGCGCTGCATGACAAGTCTAAGTTCATTAAGATAAATTAGAAGTTCAAACATGGCTCCCAGACTCTAATCTCATCTGAAGTCGGCTCTCAGGCTGAAGATCCTCTTTTTTTTTTTTTTTTTACTGCTGACTTTTGAACCACAACAGGAAATTTCTATCCTGACCTTTTTTTTTTTTTTTTTGCTCACGCAGGAGTTTTTCCGCAGTAATGTGTGCAGATGTGCGGATCAGGTGACGCAGGAACATCATGAGTCCCGGTGTTAAACATTCACACCGGCGGGCGGGCGGCCGGGCGGACCGGTCTCTGATCTGGACACCATTATCTCCTTCGCCACGCGGGAGGAACAATATCAGCCAAGTCGCTGCTGCCTCTTTGTGATTATTTCTTATGAAAGTTTCATCCACAACACAATAAAGCAGAATTCACTCACTTGCCGTGTGCGGTTATCTCAATCCAATTAGCCCTTCTTCGCCCCGCATGCCACTTTTCGATCCGCTCTTCAGGTGCGTCTTTAACCTAATTTCTGCGACCCGTTAAAAGCTGCGGGAGGGACGCCGGCGGCTGGAACGGAGCTCCGGAGGACGTCGGCTGGAGTCGCGGCGGCCGGTCGGCGGGGAGCCTTCATACCTGAGCCCGGGGAGCGCGGTCGGCTGCTCGGCCGTATGAGGAGCACTGAGCGCAGGTAGACCTCCGGCTCCGTGTATTTCTAAGAGGAGACAGATCCAATATGGAGCCGCCCGGGCGGACCGCTGCTGTGGGTGTTCAGGGCGCCTCTCATTGGAGGATGGCATCAGAGCAACTTCCCGAAGACGCCGCCTGCACTTTATCTGCTGCTGCCTTCACGGACAGTGGGAAATAGCAGAAGTCACGGTCAGCGGCTCACACCGTGATCGGCGATCCACCAGGGACCATAAATACACCATTTTCATAATGTATAACCGTAATTCATTATTTAGAAAATCCAAGTTAGGTCGCTGTTGGTTATATAACACATTCAAAAATAGTGCGAATAGGATTTACCTGTAAGAATAACCCAACAGGTAGAATTATTCAGGTTAGGATCCTACAGTGTTTTTTTATAGTGAGGATTAAGTTAAGATAAGATAAACTTTATTGATCCCTTACTGTGGAAATTTACATGTTAGAGCAGCTGCGTACAGACGAGGCTTGAAAAAAGCAGAATAAGAAACTTCCAAAGTACAACAGAGCTTAAATAAATAAAAATAAACTACCATATAATTATAAAGGTGTTGTAGAGAGGATATACCAGACATGATGGATATGTACATAGATGACATAACATCTGGATTAGTGCAGCTGTGACGTGGTGAGTTCACAGACTGATGTGTAAAGAGAGAACACAGCTTTACACGTCGTTGGATTGAAAGGGAGAAAACTTTATTTAGAGCTGGGGGACAAAAAACTATGTTAAGAGATGATGTGACACCAGACGAGATATAAGGTGGAAAAATACCAGAATAATAAAAAAAAAAGAACTATTTTATATGAAACAGGACTTTACTACAGTGAACATAAAGACGCTGCAGTATTAATAGATAAGTCTTTGTCAGGGAAATGTGCAGTGTTACAGCAGCAAAGGGGAAAGTAAAGAAGTATACATAAAGTGCTGCTGCCATTGTACAGATTCTTTCATATGCAGAAGTGTAGATAATTCACAGGTTCATGACTAATAAATATTGATATTGGACACATCCTTGAGGATTTAGGGGGAAAACAAGATTTTATTCAGACTTTTTTTTATATATAAAATATTCATCATATATGTTTGAAGGCCTTGATGCTGCACCAGAGTGAAATATGTCAATAATAATTATTACATTATCACTAACCTGACTAATTTACACACAACAAATCCCTCGATCCTCTGCGAGCAATTCATATTTACATACACATGTGTACTTTTGTTTTATTTTAATTTCCTTAAAAGGCAAAGTGAAGGACTCTTCACGGTCACTCCTGAAGGAAAATGCTGGATATAAAAATGACCCAGTTATTCCAAGTATAAAGCAGACACCTGTAAGGACACACAAATATCCATCCATCCATCATCTCTAC